GCCGCCGTTTTCTTTGTGAGTATTTATTACACGGCGTGCTGCGGGGAAAAGCCTGTTCTAACGTTTGAGTCTAAGGTTTATTTTTAGCACCTGACGGCTCTTTTTTGCTTCTCATCCGTAAATAATCTGCGTACTCTTTCACGTGATTCAGTTTATTTTGAAAAGTCTCAACAGGATCTTGAGCTTTATTGTGAAAGGCTTATGTGGAAAATAAACAAGCAGACAAGCAAATTGTCCATCCTCGAACTAACAAAGGCATAAAAAAATTCTGATTCTGATTGTGGTCATTTGAGTACAGTGAATTTAATGTCATGTTCAAGAAACTATTTTGAGATGATATTGGTGAGATAGCATAGTTATCCAAGCAGCCATTAGAAAACTGTGTGGTCATAAAGAGACTGATTTGGTCAGTGCCAAACACTGGCTGTGGCATTTAAACAATATTCAATTTGCCTAAAGTTTGTCAAGAAAATGTCCCCACAGAATTACACCACCACTGCTAGCCTGAACTGGTAGTTCAAGGTGTAATGGATCCATGCTTTCAGGTTGTTCACGGGAGATTCTGACCCTACCAACCAAATGTCACAGCATAAATTGATACTCGTCAAAACGAGCAATAATTTTCTTCTAGTGACCAGTTGTAGTAAGCCTGTATTATGCACTCAAAGGTGCTCTTCTGTACACATTGATTGGAACAAGTGTTTATATGACTTACTGTTGCCTTCCTATCAGCTCAGTGCAGTTTAGTCATTCTCTCCCAGAGAACTGCTGCTCACTCATTTTCTATCCAGTAACCACTCTCTGTAAACACCACATCCTTTATACCTATAGTAAAGCAGCAGTTACTACTTAAACAATGGTTCAGTTTTAATGTTGCGTTAGAAAAGATTATGTAGTTCATTTACCTTTGATAAAAAAAAATTTCATAGTATTAATTCAATCACGTAGATTTCACTTTTGGTTCATTTTTATCGTGCAGGTATCTTGCATGAAAACATGAGTGGAAACGCAGAGAAGGTAGGAAAGTTCGAATTTGTTACAAGAGATTAAAGAATATTTAAGAATAGTCTGTCTCAGTCTTTTACACTATAATTTCTGACATATGATGTGTGTTTATTTGCTTAATTACTACAGGTGCTGAAAGAAGATAGTTGGAACAAGTCGTGTCAAATAGAAACTGAGACACTGCTTGACAGACTTCACCTTCAAGACAAAGTTCAACACAAGTTGTTACCAGAAGAGTTTCTTCAAATAGGTCCACCTGGCAAACAGGACCATGTAGAATCTGAGAAAGATCTGGCTTGCACCTTTCTCCATAGACTGATGATGTTAGACTACAGGGCCAGATATATTTCTATAAGACCGAGCTGTCAGGTCAAGGAGTCCATCAAAGCGTCCTCTAGTGACTGGGATGTTTTTGTGAGCAGCAGTTTGGACACACATAAGAAAGCACAGTCTTCGTTGAATCCAATGGACATTCAGATGGCAGTATTTCACTGTTCGGACAGCTTCCTACAACAGATGATGATTACAAAGCTCTCTCAATGTCAGTATGCCTTACCTTTGCTTGTTCCTGACCCAGTTACAAAGGAGATTGAGTGTCCTCTGTGGACTTTCAGAGAAATAACAAAAACTTGGAGGGTAAATCAAATCAAAGATAACCCAAACATCGTCACCATGAAGAGTATTCCAGTCTACAAAGCTGAAACACCCTTGGTGTCATTTTTCCGCCTGGGTTCTTTGCCAG